CTCTCTACTATTGCCGGCCGACTGGGCGACCGGGCCGCCAAATGTACAGCAATAAACCTGACGGAAAGTTTTTCCGGTGATTATGCGGCGAGAGGCGTCCGAGCCCTCAGCGCCTCAGGGACATGTATGCGTATTTATTTTTCGGTCTGTAGAGTTATCAGTGGGCGATAGCAATGGCAGATAGCGGGGCGTGGTGAGGATGGGGGCGGGCGGGGCGGGGCGGGGCGGGGCGGGGCGGGGCGGGGCGGGGCGGGGCGCGTCGTCTGCACCGCGGCCGCCCTCAAGGTTGCCATTCATTTGGGAGGATGAGGTGCGCGGTGCCTATCGGCTGAATCCCAACAATGTTTTCGTCGCCCTGTCTCTCTCGCACGCTGGCGCAACGCCCCATGAGTGCGAGAGAGACAGAGCGACGAGGCAGTCGGCTTGGCGCGCGCCGTCGTCGTATTTCATCGCCACGCGATGTAACCGAGGGCAGGGCGATGTCACGCTAATGACTTTCGGTGCATAAACTGCAGCGCGCGGCTTTTATGTGACACGCCGCGCGCCTGTGCACTGATTACGAGAGTCTTTTTCGTCTCTCTGTCTCTCTCGCACCTGTACGGACGCGCCATGAGTGCGAGAGAGACAAAGCGACGGAAGGGACTTTCGGAATCAGTCTGCGGGCGCGACGTGCTCGCAACGCCGTGCTGCCTTGCGTGGCTTCGCGCGGTTTGGCGCGAGGAACTTGCGGAATATGGCTGGTCATTTGAATGCCGCCTTTCAGTATGCGCGGTTTGTCAACCGCAGCGGCGCGCCGCTTTTCGTTGCTTTTCGTTTTCTGTTTTCTTTCCGTGGGCATTTGTTGGTGGCGGTCACCTCCAGGACGTTGAGCCGCCACGCGCCGCCATGCCACGACGCTCCACGGCACGCCAAACGCCACGCCACGCTGAGAGGGCTGGGCTTGCGGGCTTGGCCTGTAGGCCGACTCCGAGTAGGAGGTCTCTCTCTCTCTCTTGCTCTCATGGGGCGCTTCATCCCAGCGCGCGCGAGAGAGACCGACTGCAGCTCTGTGCGGATTCAGTCCACTGGCCGTGCCGCACGCGGCCACGCATCCCGATGAAGCAGAAAGGCGCGCTTATGCCGGGCGGGCGGCCGCTGCCAGCACACTGCTTCCGAGTGGGCCGTCTCTCTCGCACTCATGTTGTACAGTGTGCTTTGCTCCGCACGGCGTGGCCGAGGCGCGAGGGACTCTGTTATCGACCTGTCGTCAATTGCATGCTGTGGATGCGGCTATGCGGCCGATGAGGCTGCAGACCGATTCCGAGAGTCGCTTTCGTCGCTCTGTCTCTCGCACTCACACGGGACGCCCCGTGAGTGCGAGAGAGACAGAGCGACGAAAACGCCTTTTGGAATGCGTCTGCTGGGCGGCCGGCCGGTGCGGATTATTGGATTGCTGGGGCTTCGGTGGCGTCGTTGTCGTTGTCTTCTGCGCGGCCGCGCGCCACTGCACTGGTACACTGGTACACTGAGGACGCGGTGAGAAGCCGTGCTGGTGGTGGCCTGAGTGGGCGTCCGTCCCGCACCAGGAGCACCAAACGTCAGTAATTAATATTAAAATACCGATCAGGGGAATATCGGGCGAATCGTCGACCTCACTGAAATGGCAATGCCGGTGCTGTATCCAGGGTATGGAAGTGGCAGAACGAATCCGCTCGGAAAGGCCTCGAATGTGGGCAAACTGTGAGCAGACAGAAACAGGGGACGGCTGAAAAGTCCCCGGCCGGCCCAGCGGCGCGGCAGGAACCCGTTTGGTGATGAATGATTTGTCACCGCTGCCCGTCGCCCCGTCGGTCGGCCAGTCGGTCCGGTCCGGTCCAGGTCACTGGCCGCCCCGTCCGGCACAGTCGCCGGAACGAAAAGACACGAATTTAAATTGGAATTCCTTTTTGGTGGCTTGTGTCACTTTCGGGGGACTTCGGGTTTGGCGGGGGGCGCTGCCGCGCTGGGCGTTGCCGGCCGAGGCACGATGGAGTTTGGAGTGGACTGCGTCTCGTACCAGGCCGTACGCACAGTGGGCCAGCGGCGCCGGCGGCTAAAACTCAAGACGCTTTTTGAGCTCGAGAGGCGCTAAAGAGGACTCGAACCGAGCGTGTGACCCCCACCAATGGATTCCTCGTTCGGAGAGCAATCCATTGGTGGGGTCACACGTTCGGTTCGCGGGATTTTGACCGCCTCTACCGTTCTTCTGGCCCACTGTGCTGTACGCCAGCCTGAGCTGTGGCCTGGAGACGGGCTGGACTGCGGCCGTCAGCCTGGGAGGTAGGCATCCTTCGCGCACGCGGTCGCGGCGGGCTGGCCTACGCGGCAGGCTGGCAGGCTGGCCGACTGAGCGGGGCAACGGCCGGCCGGACAGTCTCCTTCGCCTCGCCTCGCGCGCGCCCAAGTTTGCGGAACGATTGAAGAGTCAACTTGAACCGCGACGGCGCGCGGGCGCGGCTGAGACGCCAGATGTGCTGTGTAACTTGTTTGTCCTCAGGATGGGGACATTCCGAACGTTCTTAGAAGAGAAGGAGTACCAGAAGGAGGGTTTTTGTCGTTTCGAGTGGAAGTTTTGCGTTTCTGTTTTTCTCGCCCAGGGTCTGGAGTCTGCTGGTTGTTACCGAGCGCGCCGTAGTTGCACAAGCGCGCTTTTGCAGCGGATGTTCTAGCGTCGGCGATGATAACCGACGCAAGGCTCACCAGCGGCGATTCTTATTTTTGGATTGTCTCTTTTGACGGTGTGTCTGCGCTTCGCGGAGGTTGGACGACCGCCTGCGCGAGGGCCTGGCCGAGGGCCTGGGTCTGGCCTGGCGATTTGTTTTGACTGCCCCTCCCCCTTACTACCGCAGTTCCTTCCGCCTTCGCCACGTCCTGTGGTGCGGACTGAGTCCGAGAGTCGTTTTCGTCGCTCTGTCTCTCTCGCACGCAAGCGACGCCCCGTGAGTGCGAGAGGGGCAGAGCGACGAAAACGACTCTCGGAATCAGACTGCTGCGCGGCTTGGCGTCGGAAGGCGGTCGGAGGACGGCGATGGTGGCAGGACGGCGGTCATGTCGTGCCGGTGCCCGTTTCATACCGCTTCCCCGCCAAGGCCGCGACGGCCGAGTGCCTGGCCGGCCTGGCCGGCCTGGCCAGCCTGGCCAAGCGTGACGGGACCGCTTCACGCGCGCCATCACGCCGGCACGGAAAATGACACGCGACATACCTCACCGAACGGCGCACAGTGGGCCAGAAGACCGGTGGAGGCGGCCAAAATCCCAAACGCGCTTTGAGCTCCAGAGTCACTAAATGGGACTCGAACCGAACGTGTGACCCCACCAATGGATTGCTCTCCAAACGAGGAATCCATTGTAAGGGCGGATCCAGGGATGGGTTCAGGGGGGGGGATGTCGCGAAAGTTGCCTACCTACAGAGGTAATGTGCGACTTTTTGCCTACCTTTCAGGCGGCTTCGCCCCCATCCCCCCCCCCCCCCTGGATCCGCGCCTGATCCATTGGTGGGGTCACACGCTTAGTTTGAGTCCTGCTTAGCGACTCTGGAGCTCGAAACGCGCCTGGAGTTTTGGCCGCCTCCACCGATCTCCTGGCCCACTGTGCGGCGGCCGGCGGCGGTATTCGAACCCGCGCGCCGCGATAGGCCACCGCGACAGCTCCGCGCTCCACGTCACGGCGTGGCGGCGACCGCCTCGAGACAAGGCCACGGCCAAGGTCACCGCTCGGCCCATTCCTGACCACCGATACTGTGCGGCCCGTGCCGTGCGTGCCGGGGCGTGCCGGGGCGTGTGTCGTGCTCTCGGTGATTGGGTAAAAGCCTCCGCGCCACCGCAAGGGACGGGCCGCACGCCACGCGGCGCGCCACTGCCATGCCCTACGCTGATAAGCAGGGCCGCGCAGTGCCCTTGGCCTAACCTAACCCGTCCCCAGGCGGGCGGGACGGTACCCAGACACAGCAGGCTGGTTCCGGACAGTGCCCTCTCCCTCTCGCACTGATGAAGCGTTCCGAAGGGGTGCGAGCCACGAGGGCCCTGTTCGGAGTGAGACGACAGTACACTGGGGGCCACGTGGCCGTCGGGGAGCCACCCCGCCCGCCGCCTGCTTCCGAAGGATCATCTCCTCGCTCTGTCTCTCTCGCACACCTACGGGACGCGCCGTGAGTGCGAGAGAGGCAGAGCGACGAAACCGCGGCCGCGACCACGACGCGGCCAGTTTCACGTCAAGGCCCATCTCGCGCACGGTAATGGGATTGCGTTGGACGGGCGGTCTCTAGCGCGTACGCCTCGGGCCCGGGCCGCCCCGGCCGTGTCGGTGTCGCACCACCTTCCTCCCCCCCCCTTCTCCTCCCCTTGCTTCCCCTCCTCCTTTCCCCTCTTCTCCTCCCCTCCCCCTTCCAACCCCCTCGAGTGTAAGCGGCGACACACTGTATGGGGTGGCGGCGCGCGGCGCCCTAAGTGGATCACGCCGCGGGAAGTGTAATGCCGCCCGACAACAGAAGGCAGCAGACTGATTCCGAGAGTCGTTTTGGTCGCTGTCTCTCTCGCACTCATGGGGCGCCCCGTGAAGGTGCGAGAGAGACGGGGCGTCAAAAACGACTCTCGGAATCAGTCTGCTGATTCCGAACTGCTCCGTCGCTCTGTCTGTCTCTCTCTCTCTCCCTCTGTGCCATGCTCGCTGGATGCCCCATGAGTGCGAGCGAGCCAGAACGACGACGGCGCTGTTGTTCGAAATCACTCTGCAACGGCTCGGTCGAGCTGAGCTGCTTACGCGGTCTGAAGCGGCGGTGCTGCCGCAGCACTGCTGCCTCAGTACTGCTGCCAAGGGAAAATGATTTCGAATAACGCAGTGGGACGGCTGTCTGAATTCGGACGATGAATTCTGACACGAATTCTGATGAATCGCTTAAAGAGTGAACTTCGGCATACCCGACTCTGACCGTTGCTTTCCTCGGAGGACAGTGCTTGACCTCGGCGTTCTGTTCCATGTTGCAGGTCCTGATGTCCAACGAGTCTTGGTCGCTGCCGCCCGCAGATGGCCTGTACAGCCCCGAGAATGAGAAGGCAGCTTGTGGTGTTGGCTTCATCGTCTCCATCGATGGCCAACGCTCACACAAGGTGAGTACAGAGCGCGACAGTTCGACGTTGAGTTTGACCGAAGCAGATGGAGCGGGGATAAGTTTGTAACAAGTAAAAGGCCGCTTACACCTACTTGACCGCCAGCACCGCCACTCAGTGGAGCAGAAGGTGGTCAAAATCCCGGACGCGTTTTGAGCTCCAGAGTCGCCAAACAGGACTCGAACCGAACGTGTGACCCCACCAATGGATTCCTCGTTCTGAGAGCAATCCATTGGTGGGGTCACACGTTCGGCTCGAGTCCCATTTAGCGACTCTGGAGCTCAAAACGCGTCCGGGATTCCGACCGCCTCCTCCGGTCTTCTGGCCCACTGTGAGCTGCTCCAAAGACACCACTTGAGCGACTGTGTTTTGCTTGCAGATCCTCCGCGACGCGGAGAAGCTGTCGATGCGCATGAACCACCGCGGCGCCTGCTCGTGCGACAATGACACTGGCGATGGCGCGGGCGTGCTCACCGCCATCCCGCACGACCTGTACGCCGCGGAGCTCCGGTAAGCGGCCCTCCGACGGGACGATACACTGTAACCTCTTTAGCGGCAGTGTGAGTGTGTGTGTCCGTGTGCGAGTGTGTGTTGTGTTATCCTTGTGACTTCAACAGGGGAAAAGGGAAACCCGCCTCGGAAACGCTGTGTGGCGTGGTGAGCGTGCGGAGAAATGTCGCAATAAAATGCTCCTCCTCCCCCGAACGTTTCCCTGAACGTGTGACGCTCGCTAGCGCGCTCGCAAGACAAACCGGCAATGGTACTCTAGTTGTTTGCCCCGGGGACTTTCTTTTCTTGCCCGGTGGCGAACTAGTAATAATAATAATCATAATAATAATAACACTAACATTTAAAAATTGCAGTACACTTTGGTGTTGATTTTTTTTTTCTTTTCTTCCGCTTGTGGCTTTGTGTTTCCGGCTCCGCGCGCTCCGCGTTCGGCCGCCTGACGCCCCGCTGTGTTGCAGGGCGACTCAGAAGGTGGAGCTGCCGCCGCTGGGCCGCTATGCCACGGGGATCTGCTTCACGGACAAGGCCAGCGGGCCCGCCTGCGAGGAGCACTTCGCCAAGCTGGCCAAGGAGTGCGGCCTCGAGGTGGTGTGCTGGCGCGACGTGCCCGTCGACAGCACCAAGATCGGCCTCATGGCGCGCAAGAGCGAGCCCCTCATGCGCCAGGTGTTCGTCACCGGCAAGGCGCAGGACGACGCGCTCAACCGCCAGGTAAGCGGCAGGGCCCGGCAGGGTCGCACACTTCAAAGCCAGCGGTAAGTTTGCTTGCCACGAATTTGGCAAGCTTTGACCTGAAATCTTCATAAGCTGGCCGAATTTTGGCAAGCAGGGGCCAAGCTTGCCAAATTTTGCCATTCAAAACGTCTTGCCAATTTTGTGGCAAGCAAACTTACCACTGGCTTTGCAGTGCACTTTGTCCCTAGAAGCAGGCTACTTTTGAACCCGTCTCTGGATCCGCCCTTGGGCAGAAAAGCGAGGGAGCCTGGGCTAGTATCCGAACCCGCCTCCGCTCTCGCCGCTCCACGGTGGCCAGAAAACCGGTGCAGGCGGCCAAAACCCTAGACGCGTTTTGAGCTCCAGAATCGCTAAACTGGACTCGAAGCGACCGTGTGACCCCACCAATTGATTCCTCGTTCGGAGAGCAATCCATTGGTGGGGTCACACGGTCGGTTTGAGTCTTTGGAGCTCAAGACGCGTCCGGGATTTTGACCGCCTCCATCGGTCCTCTGGCCCACTGTGCGCCCCTGCCCCTGGCCCCTGAGCCTGAGCGGCTCCGCGGCATGATCTATAGCTCGCCAAACGGCCGCGGGCCATGCCACGCCCCACGCCCCCCGCGCTGCGGCTAGGGGTTTGTAGGGGGTTGGTGCCACCCCCCTCTCGCCGCGTCCCCGCCTGTGACGTCATCCCTTGAGCGACGTCACGGGCGCGGATGGGGAGGGCAGGACGGGCAGGGCCTGGTAGAGCCCTGCAGTGCCCGCCCCCATCGCCCCAACCGCGGAATACAGATGGGGGGAGGAGGGGGAGTGTCCGTCCTGATCTCGCCCTTTTCAAGCGCGGCCGTGAACCGATCCGGGACGGGAAAGGGTTGGAAGGGAGTGGGGGAGGCCCTGCTCGATTCGCCCAGAAGCCCAAGGTTCTGGGTTGGTGCCTGGTACCGCATTTAGGCTTTGGCGCGGCGGCATCGCCATCCCATGGAAGAGGGTCGCTTTGGCAGTCTTGGGCTTGAAGGCTGGCCGGCGGCGAGATGTGCCCCGCCCAGACAAAACCCCCTGCTCCTCCACCCCCTGCTCCACCCCCTGCTCCACCCCCTGCTCCCATCTGCTCGCCCCCTCCCCCTGCTCCAGCCCCTTGTTCAGGCGCGTTGGGTTTTGAGCCCGGCAGGCCGGCAGGGTGGGTCCAGAGCCAACGGCGGTGCGGCTCGGCCCGAGTTTGCGTTCAATACGTGTGACGCAAGCGTGGGTGGGCGTTAGGCCCGCGCCGTTAGGCCCGCCGAGGGGGGCGGCTGGGGGCGGCTGGGGGCGGCTCGCCCCCTCCACGATGACGTCACGCTGGAAAGCGGGCCGGAACCGGCCAGGGCAAGAAACGTGCCAATGTCACTCAATCGCGGCTTTCTTGATGCTCGCGCTAATGATGTTCTTCTTTATTTTACAGGCCTTTATTTTAAAGAAAGTAGCTACCCACCAGATCGCCGGTCCCGGTCGTCGGTTTTACATCTGTTCCCTGTCGACCTCCACTGTTGTGTACAAGGGTCAATTCACAGCTGATCAACTCTGGGCATATTTTAATGACCTTTCCGTAAGTCAAATTCTTTTTCAACTAACTCCAATGTTTATATTTGTAAGAAAAATTACTTCAATCTTATTTTTTTCTTATTCTTTTTGTTCTTATTTTTTTTAGAATGAATCTTTCCATACCTATTTAGCCCTTGTGCACACACGTTTCTCCACCAACACATTCCCCAGCTGGGAAAGGGCACATCCATTGAGGTAAGCAAATTGCTTATCAACAACAAAATAAAAAAAATAAGTGTTGTCATTTTCTCACCTGATTCTTGTCTTGCAGGTACCTTGCCCACAATGGTGAGATAAATACCTTACGAGGAAATGTTAATTTCATGAAAGCCCGTGAGGGCGTCATGTCCAATGAGGAGTTTGGTGACTTGAAGAAACTCTATCCAGTTGTGGAACCAAACCTCTCTGACTCAGGCGCAGTTGATTGTGTTCTTGAGTTCATAACTATGGCAGGAAAACGATCTCTTCCTGAGGTATGTTTGGCTTATTGTACTTTGGGTTAAATTGTTATGCATTTGGTCCTACAATCGTGCTCTGTATTCATCGGTTCTGTGCAGGCTGTTATGACTATGGTCCCAGAAGCTTGGCAAAACGACAAGACAATGCCAGAAGAAAAGAAAGATTTCTATCACTGGGCGGCTTGTTCAATGGAGCCTTGGGATGGCCCTGCTCTGCTGACGTTCACAGATGGACGTTACATTGGAGCCATTCTGGATCGGTGAGTATCTTTTCCACACTCTTATCGGAGTTTTTGATGGCAGTGTTTGATTTATCCTTCATCCTCTTCTTTTCTTTTTAGGAATGGACTACGGCCATCGAGATTCTATGTTTTGAAGGATAACATTATGGTCATGGCCTCTGAGGTAGGAGTGTATGACACTGACCCAAGCAATGTCCTACTCAAGAGCCGATTGAAGCCAGGACGCATGTTATTGGTGGACACGAAGCAGAAAACAATCATCCAGGACGTTGAGCTGAAGCGACAGATAGCCCTTTCCCGCCCCCACTCTACTTGGCTTAAAGAGGAGGTAAACAAAATTATTTCTACTACCATCATATAAGTGTGTGAATGCCAATCATCAGTCAGGAAAGGACAGTCTCATTTTGCTGTCTACAAACTCTCACTTAACATTCATTTTCATTCATATAATTTTTTGTTTCATTATTTTTTTGAATTGATTAGAATAAGGGGGTGTAACCTGTGTCTACAATATTTTAAATTTAAAAATTACCTTTTTGCATGATCTGGCAGGATCAGTCACACAAACTCATAAATTTGAAGGGGTGGGAATAACCTGGTTTTGGTGTTATACTTTCAAATTTTTAACCAAAACAAACACCATCTAATAGTTATGTATTTGTAATTTTCTTTTTGCTGCTGTGGTGAATTTCTACAGAGGGTGAGTCAGAGAGATATCTAGCTATTGAGTGTGTTATTTTCTTTATTATTTTTGTACAGACTTATTTTCTGCACCATGTAGTCTCCTTGGCACGTTTTTAGTTGGTTGTCTTCCTTTTATCTTAGGGCTATTTCCCATGCATGTCTAGTTTGCTAAAATTTTGTTGTAGAGTGAGGTTGCACTAACAACTTCACAGTAGCCTGTACCTCTTAAGTTATCAGTTCTTCAAGAATCTTTAGGTGCTCTCGGTGTTGCAGTCTTAAGATGTTTTAGTTCTAGTTTTTGAATTTTGTCTCGCCTTTTGTAAATTGCGTTTAAACTCATAGGGAGGTATCACAGGAAAGAGTAACTTAGCTGTTACATGCATTGTTACGCTACGTCTTATCTTATGACTTGACCATTTAAAAAATTAAAAGTTTTCTAATAATGCATAAGTTATTCTTCCCTAATATCTACGTCTTTTTAAATTTTTAATTTATTTTGCTGCTTTCATGTATTTTCTTTTAGGCTTTTCGTGGGCTATGAATGATTTTTATGGGTTTTAATCCTGAAACACTGTTTATCTAGATTGGAAGCTAGCTACTGCTGTTTTTTCAGTTGCATGGTGCTTTTTATCCTTTTTGATAAAATCTATGAGTGCACTCTCTTCATGCGTTGTGTGTGGCTTTTGGTTTGTGAACCATTTTTATCATTGTGGTCTTTGTGGAACAGATTTTGATGTCAGATCTTTACAAAGATCACAAACCAACTGCAGAGGATGCAGCCTTATGCAAGCCTATCATTGACAAAACCGCTACCTCTCGTATCAAAACGGAAGAAGAGAGGCAAATTGCAGTTGGACAGATGTATGGAGGGGATCAGCGCCTGTCGATGTTTGGGTACACCATTGAGACCATCACCATGCTGCTAGTGCCCATGATTAACACCAAGTAAGTGCTCAGTGGAAAAACAAACAAACAATATTCTATGCTTTGGTCTGCTTCTTATTTATTTGGTGCCTTGTTTCCAGGAAGGAAGCCCTGGGCTCCATGGGCAATGATGCTCCTCTGGCCTGCCTGTCAAATTTCCAGCCACTTCTATATGAGTACTTCAAGCAACTTTTTGCTCAGGTATGCCTCCTTGACATAAGCTGTACTATCTACTTACCTGAAGATCCTGCTTTCTTCACTAGAAAATTTGTTTCAGGTCACAAATCCACCCATTGATCCCTTCCGTGAGAAAATTGTTATGTCCTTGATGTGCCCCATTGGTCCGGAAGCCAATCTTCTTGACCCATCCTCGAAGCAGTGTCACCGTCTCTTCTTGCCCAACCCAATTTTGTCTTTGAAAGACCTTCTCGTCATTAAGAATACCAGTCACCGCGGTTGGAAGGTACCTAATTATTCTCAACTCTTCCAGAAACCATCCAATTAATTAAACCGAACTCACCTGTTGTTTCTTCTCAAATTCACAGAGCAAGGTCATTGACATAACATTTGCACGAAAAGATGGTGCCGCTGGACTTAAGAATGCTCTCAGTCGCATTTCTGATGAGGCTTGCCAAGCTGCCAGAGCTGGATATCAGCTTCTCATTCTCTCCGATCGTGCTGCTGGGGTGGACCGGTAGGATTCCATTCTGGTAAATCTTGTAGACTGTGGTGATGACTAAGAATTTTAGTTTGACTATGTTGTTATGGCTTTCAGCTTGCCTGTTAGTGCTCTCATGGCCCTTGGTGCCACCCATCACCATCTTATTGAAGAGAGGCAGCGCAAGAAAGTGGGGCTGATTGTTGACACAGCAGAGGCTCGGTTTGTATAGAAGTTTATCTATGTGGTTTTAGCTGATTGTACCTTGATGTCTCATTTGATTATTTTTCTGAACAGAGAGGTTCATCACATGTGTGTCCTTCTGGGATACGGTGCTGATGCCATTTGCCCATACTTGGTGTTTGAGCTGGCTGCTTCTCTTCGTTCAGAAGGTGTTATTGACGCAAATATTTCTGACGATGATCTCTTTAAGGTACAATACTCACTATGGCATTTCTGTAATACAGCTTTATTTGAAGTTTGACTAAACCCATACTTTTCAATTCAATTTACAGAACTATTCTGAAGCAATGGAACGTGGTATTGCTAAAGTAATGGCTAAAATGGGAATATCTACCCTGCAGTCTTACAAGGGAGCTCAAATCTTTGAAGCAGTTGGTCTTTCTGATGAAGTAGTTGACAAATGCTTCAAGGGAACACAGTCTCGAGTTGGAGGAGTCACTTTTGAAGTTCTTGCCAAGGAAGCATTTGATCGGCACAGTCTTACTTACGATGAGAATTCTGCTGATATGTTAGTTCTCCGGAACCCTGGTGTATTCCACTGGCGCTCAGGTGGAGAAAAGCACATCAACGAACCCACCAGCATTGCAAGTCTTCAAGAGGCTGCAGTTAGCAAGAGCCAAAATGCTTATGAAAAGTTCTGCCAATCTACTATGGAAAGTGTCAAGGCTTGCACTCTACGAGGTCAATTGGAAGTGGTTCCAAGCCCAAACATTCCACCTGTTGACATTTCTGAAGTGGAACCTGCTGCATCCATAGTGAAAAGGTTTGCTACGGGCGCTATGAGCTTTGGCAGTATTTCCTTGGAGGCTCATCAAACTCTTGCCATGGCGATGAATCGCATTGGAGGGAAATCCAACACAGGAGAAGGTGGAGAAAATGCTGACCGTTACTTGAACCAAGATTCGGAGAGTAACAGACGATCAGCGATAAAGCAGGTTGCTTCTGGTCGTTTTGGTGTAACAAGCTCCTATCTGGCTCATGCTGATGATCTTCAGATCAAAATGGCCCAAGGTGCCAAGCCTGGTGAAGGAGGTGAACTGCCTGGATACAAAGTCACTGCAGATATTGCTGCCACTCGACACTCTGTTCCTGGAGTTGGTCTGATTTCTCCTCCTCCACATCATGACATTTATTCAATTGAGGATTTGGCAGAGTTGATCTATGATTTGAAGTGTGCCAATCCTAATGCCAGAATATCTGTCAAACTAGTATCAGAAGTTGGCGTTGGTGTGGTTGCATCAGGTGTGGCCAAGGTAATAACTCTCCCTTTCTTGTCCTTCATCATAGATTCAAATGTTTGGAATTCATAAACTGATATGTTGGTCGTTCCCACAGGGTAAAGCAGAGCACATTGTTATATCTGGTCATGATGGTGGTACAGGTGCCAGTTCATGGACTGGAATCAAAAATGCTGGGCTTCCATGGGAGCTTGGTATTGCTGAAACTCATCAAGTATTGACGATGAATAACTTGCGCTCCAGAGTTATTGTTCAGGCAGATGGACAGATCCGTACAGGTAGCTAAATGCCTTCCTCAGAATTTTATAGTTAATTATAGGTGTACTGTATTTATTATTATTTTTTTCAATTAAATTTTATTCAACATTTGAATTTTTATACTTTTTGTTATTAACAGGGTTTGACGTAGTGGTGGCTGCTTTGCTGGGTGCAGATGAGTTTGGCTTCAGCACTGCTCCTTTGATTGTCATGGGGTGCACAATGATGCGCAAATGTCATCTAAACACCTGCCCAGTTGGCATTGCTACCCAAGATCCAGAACTACGCAAGAAATTTGCTGGCAAACCAGAGCATGTGATCAACTATATTTTTATGCTGGCTGAAGAGGTATGAGTTGCTGTATGATGGTGACCTCTAAATAGAAATCATAGAATTAAATATTTACCTAATTTTGGTTTACAGGTAAGAGGCGTCATGGCAAAGCTGGGTATTCGTAAGTTCCAAGATCTTGTTGGACGTACTGAGTTTTTACGAGTGTCTAAAAATGCTAACTTCAAAGCTCAAATGCTTAATTTTGAGCCCATCTTGAAAAATGCTCTCACTATGCGTCCTGGAGTCAATATTGTCGGTGGGTCTGAGAAGCAAGATTTCCAGCTTGAGAACCGATTAGACAATGAACTTATCAAGGCAGCGAAACCTGTTATTGATGGCACTGTGAAATCTGTTAAATTGGACCTTACAATAAACAATGAATGCCGAGCTTTTGCAAGTACTTTGAGCTACCATATTTCTATGTAAGTAAAGTCTTGTCTTTTTTGTTGGTTTCACTTTTATTAACTTGCATGTTAATTTGTGTTTCTGGACTCTATTTATTTTTTTATAGTAAATATGGTGATGCTGGTCTACCAAACGGAAGCAGCATTCATATTAATATGAAGGGATCAGCTGGACAGAGTTTCTGTGCCTTCATGTCTCGGGGAGTTTATGTCACTTTGGAAGGTGATGCTAACGATTATGTGGGCAAGGTATGTTTTTGTTGCAGTTGAAAAATATCGGCTTGGTCGTATTAAAACGTTAAGTTTCTGTAATACATTTCTTTTTGAGCAGGGTTTATCTGGTGGAGAAATTGTGATATATCCTGCAAAGAACACCTTAGTTGATGAGCAATCAGAGAAAAATGTCATTGTAGGCAATGTGTGCTTGTATGGTGCAACTACTGGGCGTGCTTATTTCCGAGGAATTGCAGCTGAAAGATTCTGTGTGCGCAACTCTGGTGTGGTTGCTGTTGTGGAGGTATGGCATTTTTTCTACGTTCAATTTAGCATTAGTGACTGAAACAGAGTAGAGGCGGGAGGGTCTCTAAAACAGACAGTAGCTTACATGTTAACATTTCTATTATAGGGTGTTGGTGACCATGGCTGCGAGTACATGACAGGAGGTTGTGTTGTAATTCTTGGCTTGACCGGACGTAACTTTGCTGCTGGTATGTCAGGGGGTATTGCTTATGTCCTTGATGTTGATGGATCATTTAGAGGGTAAGTAGAGCACTATCACATTTGGAACTGGCAATGTCTTTATTATTCATAAATAATGTTTCTCCTAATTGTCACTATTCCTTTCTGTTTATATTTGAAGAAAATGCAACATGGAAATGGTTGAGCTGTTACCTCTTGAGAAGAAAGAGGACTTAGACCATGTTGCCCAGTTACTCAAAGAGTTCCAGCAAAAGACAGGTTCAAAGATTGCTCAAGATCTTCTGGCCCAATGGCCCAAGCCTGCTTCTCAATTCATTAAGGTGAGTAAATTCTTGTATCAAAATTTTAGAGCTGTGTTTAATTGTCCTTTATTGTCATGTTCTTCTAATTATTTCAGGTATTCCCATATGAGTATCAGAAGGCTCTTGCTGCTATGGCTGCAGAGAAGGAAAATTCGTCAGTTAAGAAGGTGGAGCCAGTTGTGCCTGTTAAAGCAGAGCCTAAAGTAAAAGATATTGAGGAAGCTATTAATGATGAAGACATGGAGAAGAAAAAGATGGATAAAATTTTGGATAAGACAAGGTGGGTTTGCAAGTCCATTTGGACCTGTGAGAAAGCTGAGAATATCTGTTACTTTTCAATGACTTTTCTATCCTTCAAATTTTAAATTTTCAGAGGATTTGTTAAGTACAAGAGAGAAACTGTTCCGTATCGGAATGTGGAAAGTCGATTGAATGACTGGGACGAAATCTATGACTTCCAGCGTGTAAGGAAAGGATTGCGTGTTCAAGCTGCTCGCTGCATGGAATGTGGTGTTCCATTCTGTCAATCTTCTCATGGTTGTCCTCTTGGAAACATAATTCCAAAATGGAATGACCTTGTATTCCATGAAAATTGGAAAGAAGCTTTAAACCAACTCCTTCAGACAAACAACTTCCCTGGTATGATTATGTTCATAGAAAATCTGTTGACAATATCTTTTTTTTTTTAAATTTTAAAACATAAAATTTTCTTGTGTTTAAGAATTTACTGGACGGGTGTGCCCTGCACCATGTGAAGGTGCCTGTGTCCTTGGCATAAATGAACCTGCTGTCACTATTAAGAACATCGAGTGTGCTATAATTGATCATGCATTTGAGCAAGGATGGATTAAGCCTAGCCCTCCCCTAACACGATCAGGGAAGAGTGTCGCTGTCATTGGGTCCGGTCCCTCTGGACTTGCTTGTGCTCACCAACTTAATAAGGTAACACTTATAGATTTTAGGTTTATAATCTTACAAATTAAAACTGCCGTCACCTTCATCTCTTATTGTATTATTTACATTTCAGGCGGGACACTCTGTAACCGTGTATGAACGAAATGATCGTGTTGGAGGGCTCTTGCAGTATGGTATCCCTACAATGAAGCTTTCCAAGGCAGTTGTTCAGCGCCGAGTTAAGCTTCTTGAAGATGAAGGCATTCAGTTTAAGACCAATTCCAACATTGGCAAGGACATTAAAGCCAAGGTACAATATTCTGGTTTTTGTATAATGTCTGTCTATTAATTTTATTAGTTATTTACTTTGTTTATTCATACTATGTTGATATTGATTCCTTTTTTTATGAACAGGAACTGTATGACAACTTTGATGCAGTTGTAATGTGTACTGGGGCAACATGGCCTCGTGACCTTCCTATTCCTGGACGCCAACTTGAAGGAATTCATTTTGCGATGGCATTCCTTGAGAATTGGCAGAAGGTTCAGATGGGTAATGACATTCATGTCCCCAAACTGCTCGCCAAGGACAAGGACGTGATAGTCATTGGTGGCGGTGATACTGGCTGTGATTGCATTGCCACATCTTTACGTCAGGTATGCTAATACTTCAATTGATTCTTATACTGCTGCAAATGAACTGTTTCAGTACTCCAATATTTCTGTTCTAGGGAGCCAAATCCATTACCACATTTGAGATTCTCCCAGAGCCCCCTGTTCGACGAGCTGCTGATAATCCATGGCCTCAGTTCCCCAGAGTCTTCAAGGTGGATTATGGGCATGATGAAGTCAAGTTGAAATTTGGCAGGGATCCTCGTCAATTTAGTACAACAAGCAAGGTATTGTTATGTTTCTGAAAATATAGTTATGTTTTATTTTCTGAAGTGGTATTGTTTGTTCTTAACCCTTTCTTTTATCATTATTAGGAGTTCCTTGATGATGGCAAGGGCAATGTCACCGGTATTAAGACAGTCAAGGTCGAGTGGACGAAGGATGATCAAGGGCGATGGAAGATGGAAGAGGTTCCCAACTCGGAGAAGGTTAAATATTTTACATTTATGGTTTTATGACAATATGATAATGCAGAACAATTTTTTAAACAAATCTTTGTATCCTAGGTCTACAAGTGTGATTTGGTTCTGCTGGCCATGGGCTTTTTGGGCCCAGAAAAATACATTGCAGAGGAACTGCAGCTTAAGTTGGATCCTCGAAGTAATTATGAGACGCCTAATGGACAGTATTGCACATCAGTTCCTAAAGTATTTGCAGCAGGGGGTAAGTTCAAAGCCTACATTTGTCAGAAAAGGTAAGCCAAGCCTCATACTAAACTCCTTATGGTTTGTTTTTGACAGATTGTCGTCGTGGCCAGTCGCTCGTGGTGTGGGCCATCTCTGAGGGAAGACAAGCCGCAAGAGAGGTGGACCAGTTCTTGACTGGAGAAACGAACCTGCCCGGCCCGGGCGGCGTCATCGTACCTCACGCTCGCCGTGGTTAATTTCTGTCGTGGAAAAGGAAAACAATTATTATTTTAAAGCAAGGGCTTCCATTCAGTAGCATCCCTTTCGATTTCTGTTGCTTTTCCTCCCCATTTCTGTTCGTTTCTAAGCTACTGTCAGAAAGGAGGGAATCAACAGATGGCATCATTAGTTGTTTTCAGAGTCGTTCCTTTTCTGTTTTTGAGTCATTGCCCGCAAAATGCGTCCCTTGTTTTTCTTTGTAGAAGCTGGGCTCTCTATATGTTATGGTGGTGAATTTACTTTCGCCAAAAGCCATTATCAGTATTAGAAAGGGAGAACTTTGAGTGTTAGTGTGTGAGTGTTCTGCATGGAGGAGATTCACCAATGGCAGATTGATAGAATGGAATTTCTTTTGTACAAGCAAATATTGATTTTATGTCCTATTTTTGTTACTGTGAGCTTTTAAAACCCAAAGTAAAGGTGTTTCAATTTTTTTTTTTAAATTTGTTGCATACTGGATAACAATGAACTTTTGTCAACTTGGTTTATTCATCTGAAATCCTTTTACTTCAGATCATATTTTACTTTTTCTTAACGTAGGCTTAAGTTTGTATAAATATTTTGTTATTTCTGAGTAGTTTTGTTTTATATTTCAAATTTAATGATTTGAATGTGCAAAATGCTGGAATCTACAGAGCTGTGTCTATTTAATTACTCATTTTTTGTGTGTTATGTTAATTTTTAAGACCTGTTGAAGTTAAACTTGAATTTGAAGGCTAGAAATGTGGATTGTTTGAGGTTTATGTTGGTGTATCTACCTCAAAGTCAAAAGGCTAGTGCTGTTCTAGTTATTGATTGCTAAGTCACATAACAAAAACATAAGTATAACTTGGGTTTTCTTTTCTCATGCATTTGCTTTATTGTATCTCGCCAAAGATTTCAAACAAATCAAAGGGCTCTAGAAGATTATTTGTTCTTTTAAAGGTTTTTTGTTATTGTTGTTGTTGTAACGCTGTTAATGGTATGCCTGTTGCAACACACTGAAACAATTTGTCTGCTCATGAATTTCCCAGTCGGTGCTTGTTATTTACGTTGTCTCATCTTGCTAATATTAGCTTGAAGCTAGTAGATAAGCAATGGACCTATAAGCAACAGTTTTGGTCAATTTATTTGGCCATTTTGTGGTTGATTATGCGATTGTGCAGCCGTATATTTGTTTTACTGTGTATGTTTACTTAGTAAAAGAATTATTGTTGCAATATGCGAAGCAATTTATGTATCATGTACATTTATCAATGGAATATCTCTGTTTCAAGTTTCCCATGAACATGTATACTGTAAAAACTTATATAATCTACATCTTGGATAAAAAAAAATGAATAAAACTATTTTATGAAATTATTTTTTCTGAAACATAGTTCTGGAAATAATTGTGCTCTGATCGTTCATGCCTGAAGCGCATCTCTTCGATATGCAATCGAGTGTCTGGTTAATGTGTTATGTAGCACTTTTTTTTTTGAAATTATTGTCAAAAGTACTGTATATCGCGATGAATTGTGGTGAAAGTCGTGTATGAGATTGAAGTTAATCCTTGTTTCATTACGGACCTGTAGTTACAACATTCACATTTGAAGGCTACTGTACCATTATCATGTGTGCTTTAGATCTTCACTGAAGATATATTTTAAATTGTCAATTTAGGGGTTTGCCCCATAACAAATTGCTTTAAGAAAATTAACTGTTGAAGACTACTAGTATTTTTATTACATCTTTAAAGTAGCAAACTGGCTTTGAAAGCCAGCTGGTCAAGAGTTTATGGAGGGAATGCTGATAGACTGGCAAAGAATACTTGAATGGTTGAAGGGTTTATCCTGTCAACAATATAAATTGGTATTGCACAAATGAAGTTGATTCCGAACTACATTTCCAAAATAAAAGCAAGATACTTGTTAGAATAGACATGTGCCTTTTAGATTTTTGCTTGAATGGTCTGATGTTGAAAGCTATTGTTCTACTCATATTATGAAAAGAACCTTGATCTTGGCATACATCTGAATCCACCTTTGCCTGTGGCACTTTCATTAACATTTTTCTTGTGTCCGTGTGATGTGAGTGTCTGAGCCTGGACGGTGCTCACTATTCAACCTTGGTCTTTTCTGCGAATAATTACTCTTACAAATGGCTTTTTAGTTTGATCAAAATAGGCTCAAGTGATCTCCTGTGCGTTCCATTACATGTAGCCAAGCATTTATTGAAAATATAAATGTTCAAATGCAAGAGGCATGGCTTTGACTATAATACTATGAACTTAATTAATCAGGCAACCTGTCATGTCCCTTGTATTGAACGGATGTGATACTATACACATTTTGGGTAAATAGAGTGCATTTAAAGTTAAGTTCTGTCTTCATCAGGGAATTTGCAGGTACACATGTTCATCATATATTTACTAAGAAAGTTCATTTTTAAAATCTGATATGTACTCAGTCTCTCTCTTGCCAGCATGTTAAAGTTACAGAAATTAATTTTATCCAAGTACGTAATTCTTGTCTAGATTATCTTCGGCCTCTTTCAATATTGTTATAGAAAGAAGTCAGCCATAAACTACCAATATAATGGATGTGTGTATTGTGAAAAATGCAAAACAAAAGACAAAAAAAGAAAATAATATTAAGCAACAATGAGACAATAATAATGTAAAGTAAACGAATCACATATATTTCAACTGCATTAGTTAGTGTGCTTGTGAGAGCGGCCAGATAAAACGGTGATGGGAAGTGGTTCCACTCCACAGAAGAGGTTTCCAAAGTGTACATGTTGTATCACTGTTTTGACAATAAAAACCGCTCGCACTTAAGTTTGTTTATTTCATTCCAATTGTTTCATCCAATGTTGGTCCCTACAAATTTCATTTGGTGTGAAATCTCAAACCCAAAACCCAGTACATTCAGTACCATCAGTCTTAAGCTCGCAGCACAAAAATCCGACTCCTAGGCCAGGCCTGAAAATCCTGTGATGTCTTGTTTTGTCCTTGTCAAACAGTTTTCCCGCTGAGGAGTTCGGCTGTAGAAATCGCAAGCGGGTCAAGCGCCTCGTCAGGTGCTTCCCTTTGCATTCAGCAAGCTGCCGTCAGGGGGCACTGAACAGATTTAGAAGACTGCCGCTCGCGGTGGCAGTGTGTCTCCCTGTATTTACTACTTGATCTCTTCTACCTCCACTGCTTCATGAAATCGTCCACTTTCATGTTTCTTTCATGTCGCCGCTTTGGTGTGAGGGGAACTATTTTGTCTCTTCACAGGGGAAAAATGTTGAGTTTCCTTTTCTTATAGCCTTGTGTGTCCGGGGAAAAATCTTGTGTTTCCTTTTCTTATGGCCTAATCTGTCTTTAATTTCCTATCACCACGGTGACGTGTCGGTCGAATAGGTGGCCTACCTTCATTGCCACCTATTCGACATGTGACATGAGAGGTGATCTTACGATAAGATTAACCCGCCTCCCCATGGAAGAACAGTGAGGCATGCTGCAACATTGGCAGCCAGTGGAGCTAGGGAAAGTGCGTCAAGTAGGGAGAACATGCAGTCTAAAATAAAATAAAATAGCGTTTTTAAAAATCTTTTTTTTTTTCAAATAACACACCATAAATTAATTTGTAAAAGAAGGGAGGAGGGCAATCAATGCATGGTGTAGTTCAAGTTTAACCACTTAGGATTACACATGAAACACTTAAAAATAATATTTTCCGTACATGAAATGTGTCTTGGAGATATTCTGTGATTGAGTTATGTTTTGTTATAATTCTGTTTGGTTGGCTTACAAATATACTCATAATTCATGAATGAAAGAAATAATGTTTATGCAGCACATCAGTCAAATTTGCACAGAACATGTAGTACACAAGATTTCTTGGCACAAAAAGAAAGTCGTATCTCATTAAATGAAACAGTCCAACTAACAACTAGGGACCCAAAAAAGGATTCATTTTCACTTCCACTCTGTGCGGCAGGGCCTTGTGGAAATATAGAACTAACTTGATGAGAGAACCAAGTCAATAGATCATCAGAAGATAAAAACTTGCCAGCAAGACATTTCTGATTTGATCCGTTATCTCACATTAAAACATGACTTGTTTCAATTGCTCCATCACATACAGGACAGTAGATCTACAGAAACTACTATTAATTTAAACCCAACCTTGTCTTAAAGCTAGTTTACTCTTGTTAGAGAAACTTAAAATCTTACAATTCAAAAAACAAACAAAATGAAGAAGATTAAAGAAATGATGGGAAGCATTACACACTGAAATAAGCAAAATTGAAATAAAGCTTAGATCTTAGTGAACCACATTAAACAAAATATAAACTGTGTTGCATCAACAACAGTATTGAACATTTCTTGATATCTGATAAAAGTACCTCAACACATATTTCTCCAATTCCAAATTTTGATTTGATTATTCAAATGAAAAAAAAAGACTCTATTAGAAGGTATTGTTTGGTTTTTTAAAGTGTTGGAAAAACATATCATCTCTAATGTAAAATACACATATGAAAAAAAATCAATCAACAACTGTACACAATACTTAAGATTCATGTCCAGAAGCCATCTTAAATATGCCAGAATAATATTATGCATTCCTATCTGTACCTGCATCCTATTGGAAGAATATTAAACAGATGAGATATAGACTATTTGGATGAGTGAGAACATCTTTTCACAGAGTGCAAGTTTGATTCAATAAGCTCACTGTTTTCAGTGTTGGTCAGAGCTTGCCCTCTAACCAGTCAAGTACAAGTAGATAGCCAGACAGCTCCTGGACACTTCTAATCAAACACACAAGGTAATAATAGGTCATCAATGAAAACACTTCAACACATTATACATTATTAATGTGCTCAGTCAACAGCGTCTTCATAAACAGTTTAGATCACTACTGAATGCAATCAAAACACAAACTATAGTTTAGACTAAAAACAGTTAGATATTCACTAAAGCACATCATCAATGTTCTTTAGGAAGCAACGACTGTTTACATGTTTCAAGCAGTCTTGAAGTTTTCCAAATAATGTGGCTTTGGTGGGGAAGCTGGCTGTCACTAATGACATTGGTCTTGTTTATATTGCTTATGACAACCAATATTAATTACATTATCTTTCCCACAAAGTTTCCCACATAGTCACTATGCTTATTTGTTGGTCTTTACACTCATTGAACAAGACACAAGTTAATGACAGTTAAGGTATTGTGAATTCAAACATGGACAAAGTGATCTTCAAACATTGGGGATAAAAACGACACAAAATGACAACGTATTTCATTTATACGATTCTATCAGTGTGTGGCACTAGGTTGTCATCAAACGAAATTGTCCAGAGCACAGCTCCAATTAACCCAAGGACTACAATTTTTTGAAGTTTGGCAGAAATTTTCAGTAACATGTCTGAATGAAGTACAAACCGGCAAGCTCTGTGACGCATTACACGGACAGAGACACAAAGCTGTTGTACTGAGTGATGTTTCTCTTCAAGATGTCGGCACACGGGCCCAGCACGCGCTCAAACCTGGAACGGCAACCAAGAAGACGGGAAACGTGAGACATTTTGACCGCAAGTGCACAGTGACCCAGAAGACCGGTGGTGGCGGCCAAAATTCTAGACGCGCTTTTAGCTCCAGAGTCGCTAAATGGGACTCGAACCGAGCGTGTGACCCCACCAATGGATTGCTCTCCGAACGAGGAATCCATTGGTGGGGTCACAAACTCGGTTTGAGTCCTGTTTAGCGACGCTGGAGCTCAAAACGCGTCTAAGATTTTGGCCGCCTCCACCGGTCTTCTGGCCCACTTCTGTTTAGTGACCGTTTGAAATGAGTGACCTACCTGGCGCGATCCAGCTTGACGCACTTGAGGGGCCCCCTGGCAGTGACGGTGGCAGCGCGCGGCCGATCCAGCAGCAGCGCGATTTCACCTGCCGAATTGAAATGGGATCCAGTGAGCTAGGCAAGGGGCGAGCGAAGCACTACGCCAGCGCCACACTACAAACTCAACTGTCTATCAGGTGCAGACCAACCATACCTGCATACCTGCAAGTACTCGCCTGCAAACGCATACTTGGCCAAGTCGCGGGCCAAGTGCACATGCATGGCATGGAGTTATGGAGCAAAGCATGCAGTACTTGGCCAAGTATGCATTTGTCAGTGTATTCTATTCCAAGAATGCATTTGTAAGTGAGCACTAAGTAGACAGTTAGGTCTGTAGTGCAGCGGCAGCGGCAGGAAACCGCCAACTTGAACTTGAACTGACCGAAGTAGTCGGACTGTCCCAGACGGCCGACTTCGACGGGGTCCTCCCCCTCGGCGCGGTACTGCAGCACCATGGCCGTGCCCTCCACGATGATGTAGAAGTCGTCGCCGGGCTCGCCCTGCCGCACGATGGTCTCCTTGTCCGAGAAGGAGACGGGCTCCAGGGCGTCGGCCACCGTCAGGCGCTCCCACTTGTCCAGGCTCTCTGCAACCAAACGGCGTGCCGTGATGCGTAGATTCCATGCTGTAGCCCGTCTGATTGGCAGACCGCAAAAGAGAGAGGGGGGGCTGAGGCGTGGCGGCGTGGCCTTGTGTTCCAGCCATCAATAGCAATAACCACCGGAGAGAGCGCCTGCGGAGTCCAGCGTAGGCCAGCCCGCTCAACAGGCGCGTGTGGCGGGTCGGCCTACCCCGCACTTCACAGGCGCTCGCTCCGGCGCCCCATCAGGAACTCATGTAAACGTAGGGAAAACAGGCGCGGAACCTCCGTGGTTGGCGAGGTGGTGCGGAAGGTCCAGGCAAAAAATAGGCCAGACACGTTCAGGTCTTTTTCTGTACGATCTTTTTTTTACCACCAAAGGGCAAGGGCAGGGGCTTTTGCCATCAAATACTAGCAAAACCTAAGTGCGCGCTCGAGGTCATACTAGCGTGCTTTGTGGTTTCCTCCCAGGTGGAGCATGCCGTGCACTCTCTTGAGTACACTAGAGAGTACCCCATTCCGAGTGCATTTTCCGTTCCAAGCTACGGAATGTTTTGCAGTGTTGCCAAACGGCTCGGCCCAACACGGCCTCTCACTCCCGCCGAGGCTCACCTAGGATGGAGACTCTGGACAGGAACTCCTCGTACATCTTGCGCTTGCGGATGGTGGAGCCCATGAGGATGCGCCGGTACGAGTCGCGGTCGATGCCCCACAGCTTGACGTCCGTCTTGGCGCGCACCGTGGCGGCGCGCGGCGTGCCGTAGATGAGCGCCAGCTCGCCGAAGCTGCCGCCCTCGCCGATGGTCGTCACGCACTCGTTGTTGACGTACACCTGGGACGAACGCCGGTCAAGCCCCGAATCACAGCGAGCCAGAAGACCGACGCAGGCGCACAAAACTCTCGATGCGTTTTGAGCTCCAGAGTCGCTAAACAGGACTCGAACCGAACGTGTGACCCCACCGATGGATTCCTCGTTCGGAGAGCAATCCATTGGTGGGGTCACACGCTCGGCGCGAGTCCCATTCAGTGTCTCTGGAGTTCAAAGCCCGTCCGGGATTTTGACCTCCTCAACCGGTCTTGTGGCCCACAGTGGCCGGCATATGAACAGACAAAAGCGGGCTTGACTGCCACCCCACCTCCACTTCGCCTTGGTCAATGACGTAGAAGTTGTCTCCCTCGTCGCCCTGCTGGATGATGGCCTCGCCCGGCAGGAAGTTGACGGGGAACATGGCGTCGAAGATGTCGGAGCGCTCGTTCTCGTCCAAGTGCGAGAAGAGCACGTTCTTGGCGATGGCCTTGCTCAGGGCGGCCATCGTCTTGTAGTCCTTGGGCACCACCTGCGCCGAGAATTCATTCAGTGCTTCAGCTAATACTGTTTATTGAAAAATGAGAAACCGCACTGCCCGGTTTTCTTGTATGCTGCTCCACATGAATTGTGAATAAATTTCAATGGATTGCAGGAAAAATTCCACGAATTTCCGGTGTTGAATTAACTGAATTTTGATGAATTTCTCTGAATTTTGACTTAAATTCACAAACTTTGGAGAAATTTCACTAAAACTTCACGACTGTGCCTGAATTTTGGTGAACAAATTCTTTGGAGTTGTTTCCCCTTGACATCACACTTGAAAAAAGGCTCAAAAGTGGACCAGCCTGCCGCATGCACCGCCGTACCTTTTTGACATAACTGGTGGCGTCCTCCTCCGACACTGGCTCCGCAGATATGCCCCCCCTGCGGCGGGCTGGTTGCGCCCCTTGCGCGGGCAGCGGCGACAGGTCCTCCGTGTCCTCTGGCGAGACGGCCGCCTGCTTGGCATCGTGGGCCTGCTCCTGGAACAAACGCAAGGCCGTCGGTCAGCTACACTGTGGGAAAAAATCACAGTAAATCCTGTAGTGATTAGTACAGCTGTCACTGAGAACATTTTTCCCGGCGGCGTGGATACGACGGTCGTTCGGGTGGTCCGAGGGTGGTCCGAAGGGCCCAAGGTGGAGGAATGAGATGAAGCCGGAGGAGGAGGGGTCGGAGTGTCCGGCGAAATACGAAATACGAACCCTGAAAAGATCCGAACCGACCGGAGGGCGTGGCGGAGCGGCGGGCACCGCGCCGTCCCCCGGGAGGGACCGACAGGCCGGGGCCTACAGCGTATCAAGGGCCAGATTCGGGTAATGGGGCCCAGTATGTCCTGCCGCCCGCGCCGATACACCATGAGAAAAATACTCCGAAAAAAAAAGCACCTGAAGCTCGAAGTTTTGCGGTTCGATCGCACACGGTGATTTACAACTAAGAATGAAATAAAGAAAACGACGAAAAATAAGTTTATTATAAAAAAAAAGAAATGGTCGAGTTCTTAAATTGCCGATTCTGAGCAACTTCTTAGTCACTTTCAATGCAAAAATAACCGTGGTTTGGTATGAAAAATGGATGGAAAAGGTACGAACTTTCCACCCATGTATAAACTGGTGCGGAAAACATGTTCGGAACGGCTGCAGTGCCGTCACAGGCGAGTCCCTTTCATCCGCGGTGGATGTGAACAAAGGGAAGGTCGAGTTGCGTTTGAGGGGGACAGGGGAGACAGAGAGAGAGAAAGAGAAAGAGAGAAAGAGAGAGAGAGAGAGAGAGAGAGAGAGAGAGAGAGAGAGAGAGAGAGAGAGAGAGAGAGAGAGAGAGAGAGAGAGAGAGAGAGAGAGAGAGAGAGAGAAGAGAGACACGAGCGTCCGCGGCCGGGCGCCGCCCTCAGGGATGAGAATGTTTTGCGCGCGGCTCGGCGCGGCTCCACTCGGCGACCCTTAGCCTCTCCACGCGGCCTCGCGGCCTCGCGGTCCGCCTGAATAAAACAACCCGATGGCGCAGCGAGCCGAACCAACCTCACCCCTTTTTGCTGCCCCTCCCTTCCAGCGTGGCGCGCCGCCTGTTGTCTTTACAATTGCAGCAGAGTATCAACAACCAGACTGTCCATTATGTACACTGAGAGCAGCCCGAGCAGCAAGCCGACGGCAGAAAAAAACGTGCACTTTATGAAATTTCAGCAAAGAGTGTTTTTTTTTTTTTGTGGGAGTTTTGTGAGAGCGAAAGGGACGTCTCTGTTTCTGGAAAAGGTAAGCCAATTGGGTTGGTTCGCGTTTCCTCGAGCTTTGCACCGCGTTTGCACCGAGTCCGCCAAAGGGCTGGGCATTCCCTATTCATGCCTCCGCCTGTCCCGGCGGCGAGCAAGCAGGGCAAAGTGACCACGACGGCTCCAACTACACCGCTACACCCGTCGGGCTGCAAGCCCACTATCCCGACCCGCTCCGCTGTCTCCCTCGTACTCGTGTGGCGTGTCTGTTGGGGTGCGAGAGAGACAGAGCGGAGCGTCATTCGTTCTTAATCAGCGTCCTGGACCAGTCCACCGAGTCCACCGCGAGACCCCGCCAGAGTGACGCGCACTCCACTCAAGGTCAACTTACCCCGAGGGGGGGGGGGGGGGGGGGGGGGGAAGCAACCCCGTCGCGTGGTCAGTGTCGCGGCCAGCGCCGCGTCACCGCCGTGACAGCCCTGGCGGCCGAGTTGGCATGCCCGTCACGTCGCGAGGGGCGGCAGACTGATTCCGAGAGTCACTTTCGTCGCCCCGTCTCTCTCTCTCTCTCTCTCTCTCTCTCTCTCTCTCTCTCTCTCTCTCTCTCTCTCTCTCTCTCTCTCTCTCTCTCTCTCTCTCTCTCTCTCTCTCTCTCTCTCTCTCCCCCTCTCTCCCCTCTCTCGCACCTCTACGGGACGCTCCGTGTGGGTGCGAGAGAGACGGAGCGACGAAAGCGACTCTCGGAATCAGTCTGCGGGCTGCTTCGCGCTGCGCGTGCACGGCCGGGCACCGAGGAAGCGAGGCACTGGGGCGCGACGGCCGCGACGGCACGGGGCGAGCGGAGAATTAAGTGAAAAGGAGGCGGGGGGTGGGGGGGGAGGGGGGACGTCACCGCACCGCACGGACAGGTGTGGCATCGGGGGAGGGAGGCCCTAACACGTGCTGGAGCCAGTCTGGGGCCCGATACATATCGGCGCACTGCACGCGCGCAAGTGTGTGGGCGTAACGCGGGGGCTGGTTTTTCACGCGCGTGTGGCGCGCACGTGTGTGTGGTGTGTGTGTGTGTGTGTGTGTGTGTGTGTGTGTGTGTGTGTGTGTGTGTGTGTGTAAAAGCCGGAGGGCGAGTGTGCTGGTGAGGCCTTATCTTCTCCTTCCAGCGCGCCCCGCCGCACCCCATGTAGTACGTGTGAAAGCCCTGGCCAAAGCGGCGCGAGGCTGGCTGGGGCGGAGCTGGTTCTGCTGCTGCTGCGTGAATTGCCTGCACCCACCAAAGCGGCTCCGGAGCGGCGGGTCGCGGGGCTGCTTCTGGCTGGGCGCCTCCCCGCCGCCTCGCCGCGGCACCTCGAATAGAACGAACGGTTGGCGGCGGCTGCAGACTCATTCCGAGAGTCGTTTTCGTCGCTCTGTCTCTCTCGCACCCATGGGGCGTCCCGTATCGGTGCGAGAGAGACAGAGCGACGGAATCAGTCTGCTGGCTCCGGTCGAGCGATTCGGCTGCCTCGCTCTGTCTCTCTCGCACCCCTTCGGCGCTCCATGAGTGCGAGAGAGACAGAGCGAGGCAGCGGAATGGCCCGCTCCACAGCGGTGCGGCCGATGGCCGATCCATCAATCCTCCAATCCATCCATCGCGGAATGGACGCGCGGTTATCCGTCGCTGCGGCAAGGCGGCAAGGCCTGCGGCAAGGCGTGGTGTGTGGCACACTGTGTGGCGCGCACCGTGTGGCCGTGGCGCCCTGGCCATCGCTCTTCCGGCGAGCACCGCCGCCACGCCACTGGGAGAGGGACGCCTCGCAGGCCCCGCACCAAGACCGACGTCCACGAGGCCAGTCCCACAGTGGGCCAGAAGACCGGCGCCGGCGGCCAAAACTAAACACGTTTTGAGCTCCAGAGTCGCTAAACAGGACTCGAACCGAACGTGTGACCCCACCAATGGATGGCTCACCAAACGAGGAATCCATTGGTGGGGTCACACGTTCGGTTCGAGTCCCATTTAGCGACTCTCACGGTAAACCGAATGCCTCGAAAACCGGGAGAGCGCCCCGGTTTTGGATGCGCTGTCTCACTCCCTCTCCACAAGATAGAAAAAGACAGCGCACCCAAAACCGGGGCGCTCTCCCGGTTTTCGAGGCATTCGGTTTACCGTGTGGAGCTCAAAACGCGTCCGGGCTTTTGACCGCCTCCACCGGTCTTTTGGCCCACAGTGCCCTGCCGGCTCAGCGGCGGTGAACGCGATGTGGGCCAGCCGGGCCGCCGGGCCGCCGTCAGCATGCTGCAAAGCCCTCGTGGGGCTTTGCCGCGCCGCCGCGCCGCCCCTCCCATCGAGGTGGGGCTTCGGTCGGGCGACTTTATAGAGGCATAGACAGCCAACCCCCTGCCCCTTCTCCCGGGGCCCGGCCGCTGCAGGCTGATGCCGATCGGTGCTTCGTCGCTCTGTCTCTCTCGCACCTACACGGACGCCCCTCGAGTGCGAGAGAGACAGAGCGACGAGGCCCCATTCGGCATCGGTTTGCACCGCGCTGCAGCCGTTCGGCAGCCGTCCCCCGCCAGCGAGCGCGCCGCGCGCCGACAGACACTGCCGCCATGCCCGCTTTTCCGCGCGCGGCCCACAGTGGGCCAGAAGACCGGTGGAGGCGGCCAAAATCCCGGACGCGCTTTGAGCTCTAGTCGCTAACAGGGCTCGAACCGACCGTGGATCCACCAATGGATTGCTTTCCGACCGAGGAATCCATTGGAGCTCAAAACGCGTCCAGAGTTTTGGCCGCCTCCACCGGTCTTCTGGCCCACTGTGGGCCGCGGCCACTCTGGGGGAATTAATGCGAAATGAAAATGGAATTTTCCGCCCGGCGCACTGTCGGCATGCCGCGGGCAGCGCGCGCTGGTCCGGGGCGGTCCGGGTCGGTCCGGGGCGGTCCGGGTGGGGTGGCTCGCGTGGACGCGGCCGCCGAGTCGCGTAATAAATATCGCTTCTCTTTCCGGGCGGGCGGAAGTTTAAAACGGAAAAAATGTAATGGCCGGTTCAAAAAGGGGGGAGGGGGCGTCCACGCCACGACGGCCTTCGATCGCAGCATAGCGCAGCCTACTTATGCATTCAAATAACCAGCCCCCCATCTATATTTCCATAGTTTGGTCAAGGCGCCGGGCGCAGCCTGGCTCAGCAGACTGATTCCGAGAGTCGTTCCCGCCGCTCTGTCTCTCTCGCACTCATGGGACGCCCCGTGGGGGTGCGAGAGAGACAGAGCGACGAAAGCGACCTTCGGAATCAGACTGCAGCCGGACATTGGGGCGTGGCGGTAATTCATTTCGGCTGCCAAACGCGGAGCCGAAGCAAGCCCACTGGAAAAACAAAAACAACAAAAAAAACCAACAACACGTCGACCGCGTTGTACACGCAGAATTATTAATTTCTCCATTCTTTATGGCCGCTTTCAACGCGCGCATTCCGATAAGGGGTTCATTTCCTCACAAATTACGTAACGCGGCGAAGGGGTGGTCGGGCGCTGCGGCCCTGCGCTGCCGCCTGGTGTTCCGAAGGACCGTTTCGTCGCTCTGTCTCTCTCGCACCTAGGTTTTTTTTTGTCTGGAGCTTCTCTTAGTCAGACACGCCTTGTTGGGCTTGTGTGGCGCCGACGACGACGCCATCGAGGTGGACCTTGCGGTGGAGGCGCCCGCGCTGCTCGCCGAGGGGAACGGCGAGGACAGGAAGGAGCGAAGCGAGGAGGAGGAGATTACACGGCGAAACCATCCCTCCAGGGAATTGACCAATATTTCTGGGAATCC